GGAGGAGGAGGAGGAGGAGGAGGAGGAAAAGGACTGTGGGGTCCTTGGTGCTCTCTGACCTTGGTTATTTTCTTGTAGATGACCCAACTAGGTAACAACATCAGAGCTAGCCCTGAAGATGCCTAGTGGACCACCAAGGACCCCACAAAAGGTTGCAGGGATTGGGGATGCCCTCTCTAATGAAGAGAAGGATTAGGGGTGATGTAGAACATGGAACAATAACAGCCCTGATAACGGTAGCAGCGCTACATCTCATAACAATATAGATAAGATCACCGTTACTGTCAATTTTACTGTCAGACACCGGCCCACATTGAAAATGAAATTGTTGCCTACTCTCAAAAGGAAGATCATAACAATATCGCCTATCACAACAATGATACACATGATAACAGTCTTCCAGTATTTGAGGGGCTGTCACAAAGAAGAGGGGGTCAACCTCTGCTCCAAAGCCCCTGAAGGCAGGACAAGAAACCACGGATGGAAACTCAAGGAGAGAAGCAACCTGGAACTAAGGAGAAACTTCCTAACAGTGAGGACAATTAACCAGTGGAACAGCTTTTGACTCCAGAAGTTCTGGGCGCTTCATCACTGGAGGTTTTTAAGAAGAGACTGGACAGCCAATTGTCTGGAATGGTACAGGGTCTCCTGCCTGAGCAGGGGGTTGGACTAGAAGACCGCCAAGGTCCCTTCCGACTCTGTTATTCTGCTACCCCTCGCCCTCCCAACACACCGCGGGGATTCAAGACTTACCAGCCGGTCTCGGTCGTTCTGCAGGGACGAGAGAGCCTTCTTGAGACTCGGCACTTCGGCCAGGCTGGAAGACGTGCCGGTGGCCGACTGCAGCTTCACCTCCTCCGTCTTGCGGGTTTTGTCCAGCTCGCTCATCAGACGGTCCCGCTCAGCCTGCAGGCTGGCCATGGCCTGAGAGAAGGCCTTCACTTGGCCAGAGGCCCTCTCCAGCTCCGAAGAGAGGCGAGCAAGTTGGGTGTCTTTGGATTGAAGCTGCTGGTTGAGTTTCTCCACCTTCTCCAAGAAGCCCTTCCCTTCCGTTGAGTCTCGGAGGGCAGCGAGTTCGGAGGCCATGCTGTCCTTCTGCTCCTCCAGGGCGGTTTGCGCCTCCTGAAGGTGAAGCTTCTCCTGATGGAGGCCTTGAAGCAGCTGCCTCTGCTCTTCCAGGTCTCCCGCGTATCTCTTCTCCAGGGCCCGCCGTTCTTCATTAGACTGATCCCAGCTGTCTTGGAGAGAACTCATGGCTTTCTTGAACGACCGGATTTGGGCCTTCAAGTCCTGGTTTTCTTCTGTGACCACAAGGAGGCTCTGCTCCAACTGCAGGAGGTCCTTGGCCAGCTCGGCCACCCGTTCTTCGGCTGTCTCGGTCTCGTTCCGCAGGAGTCCAGTGTCGTGATGGAAGCTCTTGAGCTCTTCCTTCATCTTGGCGTCCGCTTCCTGCAGCTTCTGAGAGGTGGTTTGATGAAGGTGAGCCAGCTCTTCTTCAAGTCCCACCACCTGCTCATTTGCCAGCGAGAGCTGCCCGCCTAAACTCCGGATTTCATCCACTTTCTCTTGCAACTGCAACTGCAGCTCCATCATGGCGCCACCTTCCCTCAGAACCAGGATCTCATCCTGCATCTGGGAGAGGGAAGACTTGAGACTCTTGACTTCCTGGTCCAGATTCTGCTTCTCCAGCTTCAGGGCCTCCACGGTTCGCTGTAGGCTAGCCAAACTAAGTTCAGACTCTTGCAGCTGGCCTTCCATCCCTGCCTTCTCCTTCTCCAGGGCCTGGATCCGCTCAATCTGGGTTTTCAGCAGCTGCTTCTGCTGACTGTCCTTGATGGAGATGACTTGGTTCAGGTCTTCACGGTACCGTACCAGTTCGGCATCCAACTTGGCGTTTTCGGCATGCAAGTCATCCCGCTGACCGTGGAGGGTCCGAAGTTGCTCCTTCAAGGAGTTATTCTCTGCAGCCGCTTCCTGGATCAGCTGATCCTTCTCTAAAATGGCGGCCAGGTGACGCTGTTCCAGCTGCCGATAGTCTTCCAGAACTCTGTCCCGGTCATCTTGCAGAGAAGACATGGATTTGGTGAAGGAATCTAGCTGAGCTTTGTTCTGCTTGCTCTCCTCGTGGATATTCTTCAGCTTCTTCATGAGACCATTCACTTTCTCCTGAGCTTTTGCTTTATCGGCCTCCAAAGCCACCTTCTCGGCTTCAGCCTTGGCCATCTGGCTCTCCAACTCCTTCAGCTCCTCCTTGTGCTGCTGTTGGATTTCCAACAGGGCTTTGGCTACGGCCTCTTCCTTGGCAGCCACGAGACCGACAATCTTCTGCTCCTTGAAGCTCATCTCGGTATGGAGTCTGTCCGTCAGCTCCTTGGAAGCCTGCAGGTCAGCCTCCAGCTGCTCCAGACTGAATCTGTAATCCTGAAGACCGGCCTCGTGGCTCTTCACCGTCTCCGACATCTCAAGACGGACTTGGTCGCAGTCCTCAAAGGAGGCCTGCAGGTCAACAAGCTGCTTTCTCAGAGACCCAAGTTCTCCTCCTTGTTGGAGAACCTGGCTCTGGGAGTGGCCCAGTGACTGCTGGACCTCTTCAAGCTGTAGTCCGAGTCTGTGCTTCTCCTCCTGGAGCAATCGGACTTCTTCTTGATGGTTCTGGAGCTCCTTCTGGGCTTGGGACTCTTGGGCTGATTTGCTGCGTTCCAGGCTGCAAACAGAAATGGCAGAATGTAAGGGCGAGCTTGGTGGTTTTCTTGCAGATGTTTCATGACCCAACTAGGGAACATTATCAGGGCCTGAAGGGAGTGGAGTCCACAGAGAGGAGGAAGAGGACTGTGGGGTCTTTGGTGCTCTCTGAGCTTGGTGATTTTCTTTCATGACCCAACTAGGTAACATCATCAGTGCTAGAGGGGAGTGGGGTTTGTGGAGAGGAGGAAGAGCATTTAAGTGTCCTTGGTGCTCTCTGAGCTTGGTTGTTTTCTTGAAGACCCAAGTAGGGAACATCATCAGCTTGTAGCACTGACGATCTTACCTAGTTGGGTTGTGAAACATCTGCAAGAAAACCAACAAGATCAGAGAGCACTAAGAAACCCACAATTTTTCTCCTTCCCCTTTTCCTCCATTCCACAAACCCTCTTCCCTTCTAGTGCTGATGATGTTCCCTAGTTGGGTCATGAAACATCTGCTAGAAAACCACCCAGCTCAGAGAGCACCACACTCTCTATCCACTCCTTAATCCTTATCTAGGCAGAGTACTTTAGCCCAAGGAGAAACTGGACATCTCTTCTCTGCAAAGGCTTTCTCCACATCTCCAAGCCTTGACCCAGAACTTGAGCCATCCAGTGGTTGTCCAATCTTCAAAGGCAGGTGGGCAAAATAACCCTACGGTGAGCTCTGCCACAGAGAAGGCCCTGCACAAAATCTGCTTCCACTGACTCTAGGAGCTTGCAAGAGGAGAGACTCAAATCCGTCCTCCATGTCTCAAATCCCATCCTCCATTTCCATCCAACAACGGATGGAAACTAATCAAGGAGAGAAGCAACCTAACAGTGAGGACAATTAACCAGTGGAACAGAAGTTGCCTTCAGGAGTTGTGGGTACTCCATCACTGGAGGCTTTCAAGAAGAGACTGGACAGCCACTTGTCTGAAATGGCATAGGGCAGGGGTAGGCAACCTTGGCTCTTTTATGACTTGTGGACTTCAACTCCCAGAATTCCTCAGCCAGCATGAGGGAAACTTTGGCCCCTTCATGACTGGTGGACTTCAACTCCCAGAATTCCTGAGCCAGCATGGCTCAGCATGAAAACCTCTCCCTTTCCCCTCAGCATGGCTGGCTCAGGAATTCTGGGAGTTGAAGTCCACAAGTCATAAAAGAGCCAAGGTTGCCTACCCCTGGTAAAGGGTCTCCTGCTTGAGCAGGGGGCTGGACTAGAAGACCTCCAAGGTCCCCTCCAGCTCTATTCTATTCCGATTCTGGCTCTTATCTACCACGCTAAAATGAGCACAGAAGAAACGGGGGTAAGGAGATTTGCGTCCTTCCCCTTAGCTCACCCTAGTTCTGCTTCTGCTCGTTATGAAAGAGCCCCAGAGGAACCTTGGAATGCCAGAGGTGGGAGGGTCAGCCCCCGTCTTACCTGACAACGAGGCCTTGGAGGTCTTCCACCTGGAGAGCCATCTTCTTGACCTGGTCTTGCAAGGCAACGCAGGCCTCTTCTTGAGCAGAGAGCTCCTGCTGCTTCTTCTCAATGGCCTGGCTGAACTTCTTCTCCCACTGCTTGGACTCGTCTATCACCCGGTCCCGGTCATCCTGCAGGGAGGACATGCTTCTGGTGAAGGCTGCCAGCTGGGCTAAGGTGTGGTTCAGGTGGCCCTGAATCTGTTTGGCTTCTTGGTCCTTTTGGCGCAGGGACCCTTGGAGTTCTCGTGCCGACTCCTCGGCGAACGTCTGCTTTTTCCGCAAGGCTTCCAACCTCTCTTCCATGTTTCTCATCTCCTTCAGATGCTTGGCCTTCTCTTGCTCCAAATGTTTCTCAAGTTCCTTCTCTTTTTGACTCAGCTGACCTCTGAACTGAGCCTGGGTCTTCTGAAGCTCCTCTTTCACCTTCAGGCTCTCCGCCACGACTCGGGCAGTTTCGCTCTGAGTATCATCCAGCAAGACTCTGCAGGAAGCCAACTCAGCCTGGACCTTCTTGGTCTTCTCCTCTGCCTCCGCCATGCTCTTCTTGGTGGTCTCCAGCTCCCTCTTGGACTCACTCTGGACAAACTCCAGGGCCTTGATGGTTCTCTCCAAGCTACTGACCTTCTCCTGGCTTTTAATGCAATCTTTCTGCAACTGCCTCACTTCTTGCTGTTTCTCTTTCAGCAGTTCCTGAAGTTCTCTGGTCTGAGTCCGGCCGTTGTCCTCCTTCCAGGAGCTCTTGACCTTTTCCATGTTCTCTTTCTTCTCGGCTTCCACCTCGAGCTTCTCTCTCAACAGATGCCGCTTCTCCTCTTCCAGGCGGCTCAGGGACCCCTGAAGACTTCCCAGCTCTCCGAGGAGCTGCTGGTTTTGGCTCTCCAGGTTGGCCATGTCCTGTTGATAGTTCCCAATGCTGCCATTCAACTCAGCCAGCTGGTTCATCAGCCTCTCTTCAAGGTCATCCTTCTCAGTTTCCAAAGCTTCTTTCAACATCAGCGCCTCGGCCAGCTGTTCCTGGGTTTGCCCACATGCTTCCTCCACTTTGAGGACCTTTCCTTGAAGAGCTTCCAGTTCCTGGCCTTTCGCAGCCAGTAAGCCTTCCAGGTGGTCCTTCTCTTCCTTCAGGACCTTCAAATTCTTACGGGCCTTATTCATTTCCTCTACCGCCATCTTTCTCCCATCTTCCAGTGCTGCCACTTGCTCCTGAAGCTCTGCCACTGGCTGAACATCCCCAGTTCTTTCATCACGCAAAGGGTTAGCTGGGCTAAGATCTTCCTTTTGGTCCCTGAGGCTCGGAGCAGTGGTGGGGAGAACTTCAGAACCCGTGTCTGGATCTCCTTGTTCCTCAGCTGCCTCCTCTGAAGATGACATCTTGGTGGAACCGACCATCTTGCTTCTGACTACCATCTCCTCTTGGAGGCTGCTCTGATCTTCCTTATTTTGCAAAGTCTGCCTCAAATCCTGGATTTCCTGCTTCAAGCTGTCCTTCTCAGCCACCAGGGCTTTCAGCTCATCAGAAAGAGCCTGGCAATTCTTCTTGGAGGCTTCCAGCTCTTCTTGAAGAGCAGAATTTGCCCCATCCTGTCTACCATCCCCAGGATGAATTTCCAACCTCAGCTGCTCATTCTCTTCTTCTAGTTCCAAGATCTTCTGCTGCTTGGATTTGGCAAACTTCCTCATTTTCTCCCTCATGCCTTCCATCTCCTGTTCGGCTCCCTGCAGGCGAGCTTCCCCGTCCTTCTTCTCCGCTTCCGCCTCTTTCAGTTTGAGGAAGAGGTCCTGCTTCTCCTGTCGGACGCTCTCCACCACCCGTTGGATCCGCTCGGCCTCGTTGCTGACATTCTCGTACGACTGCAGGAGCGTCTCATACTCCTTCTGCAGTTCCTCGTGTTTCCTCCGCCACTCCGAGAGCTCCTGGGCCTGCCTTTCCTTCAGAGAGTCCATTTCCTCCTCAAGACTTGTCTTCTCCTGAGTCACCCCTTCCAGGGCCAACTTCAGACTCTCGCAGGAACCAGTCACATTCTGGTTTTCCACCAACGCTTTGTCCACCGCTGATATGAGCTTGTCCCGTTCCTCCTTGAGGGTCGCCAGTTTCTTCAACAGGACCACCTTCTCCTTGTCCAGCTCAGACGCCCGAAGCTCTGCCTCTTGAAGATGGAGAGAGGTGCTTTCCAGAGCGGCCTTGGTGCCGGACAACTCATCCCTCAGCCCCTTCCTCTCTTTTAGGGCTTCCTTCCTGGAGATGAGGGCTGCCTGCAGCTTCCTCTGGAGCTGGGCTTTGGATTGGGTCTCCGCAGATTCTTCTGCCGATTTCACCTGAAGCTCAGCCTGCAGCTGTTGGGCTTGGTCCAACTGCCCCTGCAAAGCTTTGACCCTATTCTCCTTCTCTTGCAACTCAGCCTGGAGGCAACAAAGAGACTCGCTTTTCTCCATTAATTGGGAGTGAAGGCCTTGGATTTCTTCTCTGCCGCTGAGTTCCTTCTGCTCTTGGTGGCATCTCAGACTCTCCTGCCTGGCAATTTCTTCCCAGCTCTCCTGCAATTCCAGCTTCAGGCTTGCCATGCTGGTTTCCACCTGACTGCAGGCAGTTTTGGCCATCTCCACTTCAGCCAGGAGTTGCTCGACCTGCTCCTGAAGGAGCAGAGTCTTCTCAGACTTGCTGTCAAGCTCTCCTTCCAGATATCTGATCTGGGCTTCCAGTTCTTTCTTCTCAGCCTGAAGCTTCTCAAAGTCTGCCTTAAGTTGTCCCACAACTGAGTCTTCGGTTACCAAGGAAGTGTGTTCTTCAATGACCTCCTGGCCAGACTCCTGCACAAGCCCTGATGCTGGCCCTTCAGAAGAAACATCTCCAGCAGGATTTTGAGGAGGGAAGCTCTCCAGAAACTTGGACATCATCTGGAGCTGGTCCTGCAGGTTCTCCGTCTCCCTGCTTTGCTGCTCAAATTGCTCTTGCAGCAAGTTGTAGTCGTTCTTCTGCTGCTTTAGCAGCTCGCGAGAATGACGATCCTTCTCCTTGGCTTTCTTGATGATCTCCTTGCGTGAGACCAGAGCTTCCTGCAGCTTCTTCTGGAGCTCTTCTCTCTCCTGGACCAGCGCCGAGAACTCTTCTTGGACAGTCCTATTTTCTCCTTCCGGGCCAAAGTCAGCTTTGCTGCTTGATCCACCTGCCCCAGGATCTGCTGAGCTGGACCCCTCCAAATTCTGATCCACCGGACTTTGTTTCTCCGGGGCCAACGTGCAGTGTTCGAGTTCAGCCTGCAAGGCGTTTATCTGGAGATCCTTCTGCTCTAGACTTTGCCGCAACTCTGTAATCACGGCCCGTGGCCACGTGCATTCTTTCTCCTCAGGGGTGTCCTGTGACGTGGCTTCCTTTGCAGAGAGCAACTGGCTGAGTGAGGCAGCTCTGTCCCGCCTTGCAGGATGCCCTTGGCCACTATGGAGCCGTTGACTCTCGGAGGGATGTCCACCTCCTTCATTCTCCTGGGCCACCACCTCCCGGCTCTCGGCTGGAGGCTCTTCCCCACCTTTTCCTTCCTGCTCCAGCTGGCGAACCCTGTTGAGAAGCTCCTTCCTGCTGAGAAGGGCAGCTTGCAGCTTCTTCCTCACGAGTTCGTTCTCCTTCCTTAGAACTTCCACTGCTTCATCGGTGGGCAACTCCTCCGTTGGCGGCCGTTCCTCCTCCGTTTCCACCGCCTGCTCTCTGGTCTCCTTTCCTTGCTGCAGCACGCTCAGTTGCTCCATCACGCTCTTCAGCTCTTTCCCCAGCATAAACTTCTCCTCGTTGAGTTGCACCATCCGGTCGGACATGCCGATGCTGACTTCGGTCATCCTTTGTTCTCGCTCCATCACTTCCTGCTGGAGCTTCTCCACCTCCAGAGAGTTTTCAGAGAGGAGCTTCGCCAGCTTGGTGGTTTCCACCTCCTTCAAGACGAGGGCCTGGGAGAGCTCCTGAGCCTTCGTGGAAGCCTCCTGCCCATGTTCTACCAGGGCTTGGACGTTCTGCTGCTCCTTCTGGAGCTGGCTAAGCAGGTTTCTCCCCACCGTTTCTTGCTCGGAGAGGCGACGCTGGGCTTCATCCAGGTCCTTCTGCAAAGCGACGATTTTCACCTCTTTGGATTTGGCCTCGTTCCTCAGACTCTGAATTTGCTCCTTCAACAAACCCAGGTGAGAGATTCCACTCTCATAGTTGGGAAGCTGCTGCTGCTGCTCTGGGTGAGCAGGACCTCCTTCCAACTGGTCCTTCAGCTCCGCTAGGAAGCAGAGTTCCTTCAGCTGGGACAGGAGCTGGTCACGCTCTGCGCTCAGACTCTGCACAACCCTGGCTGAGCCGTCCACCTGTTCTTGAAGCTGGTCGATGTCTGCTGTTTTCTCCTCCAGGGTTCTCTCGTGGGTTTCCACAGCTTCTTGATGCCTTCTGTGCAGTTCGGCGACTTCAAGCTCCAACTTCTGTAACTGCAGCCCGGAGTCTAGAGATATTCCCTGAGTGGTTTCGTGCTCCTCCGGGCCCAACAGCATGCCCAGAACAGAAGGAGAGTCCTGAAGGTCTACCGTGACCAGGGAGCTGCTGCTGGAATCACTCTGGATGGGCACGGCTCCTTCTCCCTCTCTCTCGGCCTCCTCGCTCCCCTGGGATTGTCCCGCTTCAGTCTCCAGGCTGCTCGTGACCGGAAGCTGCCCCTTTAGCAGTGCAATTTCTTCCTGGGCCTCCTGCAGTTCCAGAAGCAAGACTGACAGATCGCGCTGCTTCTTCTCGGCAAAGTATTCCAGGAGATCCGGCTGTCCGTCCTGTTGGGCCTGCAGGAGCTCCTCAAGGGTCCCACCTACGCTGGGCTGGAAGGAGGAGAACAAGGGAGTCATTCCTCTGCAGGGAGCAGATTTTATTTTATATTACATTTTATATTACTTTATAGTATATAAAGTAGCTCAGCTGGGTGTAGCTCAGCTGAGAAGAGGGGTCTGGGGGGGTCTGGGGGCTGCAGGTCACCCCCCCAGGACCCCTGGCCTCGCCACCTCTGCAAAAGTCTTTATGGAAACCTTTACCTGGTTCAGGGGAAGAGACTGGACTGCCGCTGTTTCCAGTTCTGGCGGAGACGAGCCAAGCTCCGGGGGTCTTTCGGGGGGCTCCCCTGGGACAGAAAACACAACGTAAGTGGAATCAGAGACACATCCATCCCCTGGCCCGGTGTAATGCCGAGAGAAGCCGAAAAGGGCCATAAAGTGAGGTCCGCTCCTGAAACCTCCCCCCCCCCAGTTCAGCCAGACTGAGAGGTTATTTTCATTCGGCGAGAACCGAAGGGATTTCAAAATCCGGAAGGCTGTCAAAGGCGTAACGGACAGGCTGGGCTGTCCCAGAGCTGAGGCTGCTGACCTTTTACCATCAGTCAGAGGTCTGAAAAAGCCTAGCTAGAGAGAAGACCAGGTGAGCTGTCCAGGTGTTTCGGGAGCCGAATAGGGATCCCTGGGAACAGACCAACTTCCATGATTGTGGCATCCTGGCTGCCGAGTTTGAATGGTTTTCTTGCAGACGTTTCGTGACCCACGTAGGTAACATTATCAGTGCTGGAAGGGGGCGACGTTTGCTCTCTGTTTGTATACCAGAGGGAGTGTTGTTGATGATGATTCAGTTGCTGTTTATTGTTAGCTTGTTTGTCTGAGTTGATGACTCCTTGAGTCAAGCCGTAAACAATACCTCAATTAGGAACTACCAACTCAGGTAAACAATCAAGCAGAAAACAACAGCCTAATCAAGGACTCATGAAGAACATGCCACTTGTGTATAAACAGAGAGCAAAGCCCACTTCTTTCTAGCACTGATGATGTTCCCTAGTTGGGTCATGAAATGTCTGCAAGAAAAGCCACCCAGCTCAGAGACCACCAAGGACCCCACAGTTTCTCTCTCCTTCTCCTTCTTCCTCCTCCTCCTTCCTTCTTCTTCCTCTTCATCCCTGCTCTTTCCTCCTCCTCCTCCTCCCCCTCTCTCTTATTTCATATCCCTAGTTGGGTAATACAATGTCTGCAAGAAAACCACCAAGCTCAGACTGCACTAAGGATCCCACCGTTATTCTTTCTCTCCTTCTCCTTCCTTCTTCCTCCTCTTCATCCCTGCTCTTTCCTCCTCCTCCTCCTCCTCCAACCCCTCTCTCTTATTTCATATCCCTAATTAATAAAATGTCTGCAAGAAAACCACCACGCTCAGAGCGCACTAAGGAACCCACAGTTCTTAATAATAATAATAATAATAATAATAATAATAATAATAATAATAGTAGTAGTAGTAGTAGTAGTAGTAGTAGTAGTAGTAGTAGTAATAAAGTTGGAAGGGACCTTGGAGGTCATCTAGTCCAACCCCCTGCTCAGGCAGGAGACCCTTTACCATTTCAGATAATACCATTTCTTCTTTCTCTCCTCCTCCTCCTCCTCCTCCTCCTCCTCCTCCTCCTCCCCCTCTCTCTTATTTCATATCCCTAGTTGGGTCATGAAATGTCTGCAAGAAAACCACCAAGCTCAGAGAGCAACAGGGACCCCACAGTCCTCCTCCTCCTCCTCCTCTTCTCTGCAACCCCCCTCCCTTCTAGCACTGATGATGTTTCCTAGTTGGGCCATAAAACGTCTGCAAGAAAACCACCCAGCTCAGAGAGCAGCAGGGACCCCACAGTTCAACCCTGAGCAACAAAGAGTCTCTTCTGTCTATGCTTTCACTCCTTCAGGAGGACACCGCTGCCTCCTTGCAGACCCTTTCGCTGACCTTGGGCGGCAGGAGCGTCCTCGGGCGAGCTCGCCCCTGGCCCATCCGCCTTCTGACGCAGCCGGGCGTTCTCCGCCTGGACAGCCTCGTAACTGGCCCGCAGGTCCTGCTCTGCCTTTTGAAGCTCGGCCAGCTCCTGCTCCTTCTCCGCCACCTCCCGGGCGTGCCGGGCTTCCTCGGCCTCCCTCTCCTGCTCTTGCTCGGTCCGGACTGCCCTCGCCCGGGCCAGCTCTTGGCTCAGCTCTCGGACCTCCTCCTGGCTCTGCCGGAAAACGGACTCCTGCTCGGCCCGTTCCAGCTGCAGGCTCTTGACCAGGTGTTCGGATTCCTGCTGGACGGAAGCCAGAGCGTCTCTCGAGGCCTCCAGCTCTGCCTCGGCCTCTTGCAACGTCTCCCGGAGATGCTAGGGAAGAGAAAGGACAGGAGAAGCGTGGAGGAGGTAAGAAATAAGGAAATAAGATAGAAATAAGGAAACCGGAAAGTTAGGAGGGCATGGCCCCCCGGTAGCTAACCCAAGATGGATAATGGGAAATAGCAAGAGAATTATTTTATTTTTTTAAAGGAGGTTTGGTGGATTACAGCAACATTTTTGACTGGGTAGATTTTGCCAAAACTCACAATGTGTTAGGGAAGAGGATATACCAGTATAGAGGTCTCCAACCGTGGCAACTTTTAAAACTTGTGGTCTTCAACTCCCAAGTCTTAAAGTTGCCACGGTTGGAGACCCCTGGACTAGAAGACCTTCCAGCTTCCAACTGTGCTAAAAGACCTTCCTGAAAACCGAAAATCCATCTGATATTTCTGTTTTCAAACATGGCTCCATTCGTTCCCTTAGCGATCTTAAGCAGACTTTAGCTTGCACGAGGCATTGGTGCCCTGGAGCACCCATTTGAATCCCCCCTTCTTAATATGCTTATATATGTAAAGTCCTTTTGGGGGGGGGAGGAAAGGAAAGGAAAGGAAAAGGGAAGGGAAGGGAAGGAAAGGAAAGGAAAGGAAAGGAAAGGAAAGGAAAGGAAAGGAAAGGAAAGGAAAGGAAAGGAAAGGAAAGGAAAGGAAAGGAAAGGAAAGGAAAAGGGAAGGGAAAAGAAAGGGAGAGGAAGGAAGGAAGGAAGGAAGGAAGGAAGGAAGGAAGGAAGGAAGGAAGGAAGGAAGGAAGGAAGGAAGGAAGGAAGGAAGGAAGAAAGAAAGAAAGTATATACTAAGGGGAAAAGAGAGGAAATGCTTAGCGTAGTAGTTTGAGATTTGTACTAATGATACTTGTTTGTAACTGAATTATTATAACTCAGCCGCCACGTTGTTTTTCAAATGTGTAATGCAATATTAGAAAATTAATAAAACTTACATTAAAAAAATGAAATTTTGTTGCCTGCTCTCCAAAGTGCACACATACATCACACACATCAAGACATGCTATACACAATACACATACCTACACCCTTACGTGTAAATACATATACATATACATATTAATCACTGCCCATCTTGAACGGATAGTGGAAAGAGGAAGCTTGAGCGTTCGTTACGTCCATTTTGCAAATTGAGAGCAACTCTGGAGCAGCTTTGGCATGCAATACATTGCAATAAAATGTGATTTTTGACGGGATACCCGGGGGGGTGGGGGGGGGGTACCTGCTTCTCTTCCTGAGTGCCGTTCAGTTCCTGCTGCAGCAATTCGACCACTTGTGTCCTGCCCAGCAGGGCCTCCTCCTGTTCCTCCACCTTTCTTTCCAGCTGCCTCAGGTTCTGTGGGGAGAGAGAGGCCACAACAGGCCTGCTTCAAAAAGCCACAAGACAAAAAGACACATTTCTGACTGCTGGCTTTCCCCCAATTTGTATTTGTGCCTTTGGTTTTTCCTGCCTAGGTGTCAAGCCTTGCTTTTCTCCTCATTAAATTTCACGTTGTTGGACAGGGCCCCCTGTTCAGGTTTTGTCAAGATCCTTTGGGATCCTGAGCTCGTCTTCTGGGGCGTGGGCTGTTCGTGCCAGCTTGGTGTCATCTGCAAATCTGATGCTTTTCCAACCCACCTGCTGCATTTCTGCCTCGCGGGCCTCCACCTGGCGTACTTCTGCCTGGTGCTGNTGGCTCCATTCGTTCCCTTAGCGATCTTAAGCAGACTTTAGCTTGCACGAGGCATTGGTGCCCTGGAGCACCCATTTGAATCCCCCCTTCTTAATATGCTTATATATGTAAAGTCCTTTTGGGGGGGGGGGGGGGGAAAGGAAAGGAAAGGAAAGGAAAAGGGAAGGGAAGGAAAAGAAAGGAAAGGAAAGGAAAGGAAAAGGGAAGGGAAGGGAAAAGAAAGGGAGAGGAAGGAAGGAAGGAAGGAAGGAAGGAAGGAAGGAAGGAAGGAAGGAAGGAAGGAAGGAAGGAAGGAAGGAAAGGAAGGAAGGAAGGAAGGAAGGAAGGAAGGAAGGAAGAAAGGAAGAAAGAAAGAAAGAAAGAAAGAAAGAAAGAAAGAAAGAAAGAAAGAAAGAAAGAAAGAAAGAAAGAAAGAAAGAAAGAAAGAAAGAAAGAAAGAAAGAAAGTATATACTAAGGGGAAAAGAGAGGAAATGCTTAGGGTAGTAGTTTGAGATTTGTACTAATGATACTTGTTTGTAACTGAATTATTATAACTCAGCCGCCACGTTGTTTTTCAAATGTGTAATGCAATATTAGAAAATTAATAAAACTTACATTAAAAAAATGAAATTTTGTTGCCTGCTCTCCAAAGTGCACACATACATCACACACATCTAGACGTGCTATACACAATACACATACCTACACCCTTACGTGTAAATACATATACATATACATATTAATCACTGCCCATCTTGAACGGATAGTGGAAAGAGGAAGCTTGAGCGTTCATTACGTCCATTTTGCAAATTGAGAGCAACTCTGGAGCAGCTTTGGCATGCAATACATTGCAATAAAATGTGATTTTTGACGGGCTACCCGGGGGTGGGGGGTGTACCTGCTTCTCTTCCTGAGTGCCGTTCAGTTCCTGCTGCAGCAATTCGACCACTTGTGTCCTGCCCAGCAGGGCCTCCTCCTGTTCCTCCACCTTTCTTTCCAGCTGCCTCAGGTTCTGTGGGGAGAGAGAGGCCACAACAGGCCTGCTTCAAAAAGCCACAAGACAAAAAGACACATTTCTGACTGCTGGCTTTCCCCCAATTTGTATTTGTGCCTTTTCCTGCCGAGGTGTCAAGCCTTGCTTTCCTCCTCATTAAATTTCACGTTGTTGGACAGGGCCCCCTGTTCAGGTTTTGTCAAGATCCTTTGGGATCCTGAGCTCGTCTTCTGGGGCGTGGGCTGTTCGTGCCAGCTTGGTGTCATCTGCAAATCTGATGCTTTTCCAACCCACCTGCTGCATTTCTGCCTCGCGGGCCTCCACCTGGCGTACTTCTGCCTGGTGCTG